TGTATTTTTTATTTCTCTATATTATCTGTAACAGAAACAATAATTATACTAAGAACAAGAGGTGAAATTGGTATTTCCGTAAACTCAAATTTAACTATCTCGGGGCGGAGGAGCTAGCTTACCGATTAAATAGACTTTCTCAATAAATAATTAAGTTTACTTATAGCGGAATGATAAAAAAAAAAAAAAAAAAAAACTATCGGCGTAAACTAAACTTTATCGTATGAGTTAAATATCCGTACGGTATGAGATATAAGTACGAATAATCGCCTTTCAACTGTAACTTTCTTTCAGCAATCTGTCCACTATTGTCGGTTAAAAAGAAATGTCGGATAACGAAGATCGGAAAACTGAGATTTTTTTGTAACATGCATCTACTGATAATCTGTCCGTGCTTTTACTGGTGCTTGAGGTGCTGAAATATTCTTTCAACTGTTGTTTCCGTTTTATGCGCTATCGCCGCGCGTAGTTATAATTTTAATTTTAATTGACGCTCAGAACACAGGCCAGTATTACACAACAGAATTTATCAGTTCAAAGGAGCGTTAGTCTCAAAACGGCATTTTGTGTCGTGACCTTTACGGCGCTTAGAGACATCAAATTTTGAATAATTGAATAATGTAGTCCTCCAACCGAACATTGGGACTTCAAAGCGAGCATTAACAACCTTGCACGAAAAAAAAAAAAAAATCTGAAATGTTTCAGATTTTAAATTACGTCCAAAGGGGCGTTTTTTAACATTTTGTGTGTTACCTTTCTTTATTAAATATCATCTTCCTCGCACTTAAACCATAAGATCCAGTGCAACAGCAATATCGCAAAATAGTTTTAAAACGAGCATATCTTTAGAATTTCCGATACAGAGACTCACGCGCTGGAGGTAAAAATGTTTTTTCTGCACAACGTTGCCATTGCTCATTGCTCGCTTTGAAATCCTTGAGTTTGTTAATCAAAAATTCGTCAAAGTTTTAAAGAATAGGAAATCGATCATAAAACAAATTTCAAATTTCAAATTTGGTCTTCCACATGCTCATATTCGTTGGAGGATTACGTTATTCAAAATTCGATGACTCTATGTACCGTTATTTTATGACAATGTGAGAAATATACATACATTTACGCAGATTTTCATTATTTAATTTCTTCAAATATAATGCAGGACTCTAACATTTTATGGCAACAGTTTGAAAAGTGAACCGACATTTATCCGTCCGACGCAAAATGCCAAAACGAAACTAATAGTCCTTCGGGATTCAAATCCCTTTGGACTAAAAAAAACATTTTTATCTCCAGCGAACAACGAGACTGTGTATCGTAAATTATTAAAATATGCTGTTTTTAAATATTTTGTGATATTTCTGTTGAATTGAATTTTATGTGCTTTAAGTGCGAAGAGCATTTAATAAATAAAGATAACAAACAAAACGTTAAAAAAAAAGGCCCTTTTGAGCGAAGTATAAAATTTGAAAGCTTCCAGATTAAAAAAAAATTAATATTGAGTTCTGCATTAAATTCCTTTTAAACTGATAGAGGAATAGTGAAGTATAACTACTGGCCTTTAAGTTTGCAATGCATGAAAATTTCGAAAGGTGTATACAGTTTTATTTACACCACTTTACTCGTTCAGCAAATAATAAATCAACATTAAAACTGTAATAACTGAAATTTTTGGGCATTAAAATCGTTATTTTTCTTTAAAGTTATAAAATTTCGGATGTTTTGTTGATGCCAATATAGAACATTTCAGAAGACTAAATTACATTCTGATTCTCATAGCTATTATGCATTTGAGGTACCTCTTCAAAAAGCTTTTACTACCCATTTTGCAGAAAAGGCGGAGGGGGGGAGAAATCACAAAATGATTGAATTAGAGAAAGACTGAATTAGTTGTAAAAATTACTTTCGACTGCACTAAAATGTATGCTTAAAATTTTGATTAGAATCCTTAATTATAATTACGAAGTTTCAAAGTCCTTTACATTTTTAATTAAGACCTTTTGTTTACTGCTAACGTACAAGGCTTAATTTCGAAAATAGCTGTATTGCTTTACTCTGAGTAAATATAACTAGGTAAAAAATAGTAACCAGAAACAGAATCTGTTTACTTTTCGTTTCCATTTTAACGACCTTTAAATCTAAATACTGCTAAACTTGCAATATTTTTTGCCGTCGTTAGCGTAATTTTTATCTGGTGTTTGTTCCGTATTACTCGAAACGTTACAAGACACATCGCAGATCAAAATGGTGAAACTGTTTTTTAGAAGTATTATTATTTCATTTCACTCAGAGTACGTGCGAACATTCGAATGAGGCCAATACCTCGAAAACAACCCCCGAGTCCAAAATTTTAAGTCCAAGGCCCGATATGAGCAACTGCCAGGCACATGATGGCAATGAATAGCTGTATGTGCTAAAAGGATACTTCAAGCAAGAAAACATACTTTTGTCTTCAACTTATTTCGTTTGTGGTAAATTTTTTTAAACATTATAAATACATCACTTTAGTCATTTCAGTAAACAAACAAAAAAAAAAAAAAAAAAAGAAAAGAAAAAAAAGGAACAGTATGACATGATTGAAAAAAAAATTAATTTTAAAAACATATAACACACACATATTTGAAACATAATACATGAAAACAATATCTTTAATTTGACAGTGGCCAATAGGCAATGCTGACTCATAATTATTTCTGTAAAAAATTGTTTGGTGCGTGCTGTTCTAGAAAGGGAAATATCCAGTTTTTCTTTACTTTCAATATAACGACGGGCAATAAGCAACGCTGGCTAAAATACGTAGAAAATTGTTTTGTGCGCGCTGTCCTGGAAAGAAGAAAATCCACTTTTTCTTTTCTTTATTTTTTTCTGTTACAAATGTGAATTGCTCATTAATGTAACGAAACAAACTGTAATGAAACTTCTGTTGGCTACGTCCTTCTATAGACAACCACCTTTGAAAGTGAAATATTTCTAAAATGTAAACAAACCTTGTATTGAACATCACCCTTCTAAGACGACTACTTCTGTAAAAGATCAAAATCGTCTGGAACAACAGCTGGCAGTCTTAAAGAATTTTTGCTGTAAAATTTAAAGCAAATATGTTTATGGCAGAACTAATCAGACATTGCTAACTCCATATATTGTATATAACCTCTAATAGAATCTCGCTCCATGATTCTTCTGAAGCTTGAAATAGGAATAAAAACTAATGATAAACACAAAATTCTTAAACAGTACATAAACTATAAATTATTTTTTAACATTACATAAACATTACATAAAATGTATAAATCATAGGAACCGCACGAAAGCTTATCATTGAAATATTTTATTTTTAATGCCATTAATAAATACCTTCTTATCAATTTAAATTTTTATTACTTTCGAGTGTATTAAAGGCACACGCAAAACCATCTTACATTAAACTCTTATGTCTTCGAAGTCATTATGAAGAAAGGCTGATTTATATTCAAATTACAAATGCAATATTTAAATTTATTTTCTGATATTTACTTGCATTGTTTAGTTTTTGAATTCATTTCATCAGGAAAGCCCACAAATGGATAAGACCATTAATCAGTGGTTACAAGCGACAGAGCGATAAAGTCCCTGAACACTGGTATTCGGTCCGAGGTTTAAATCCCTTCGAACGGGCTAACTGCATGGGCGTTTCACGATTTTCCTCATGTTTTAACGTGTAAGCAAGACAGTATCCCTTAGAGAGTCCTCCACGAAGGCTTCTCTACCCTTAGGCAGATAGCCCTCGAGCGCTTTTTCCATAATTAAATAAACAAAACCAAACCACTGGTAGTTCGACGTGAGTTCAAATCTTGCGAATGAGTTGACTGCATGGTTGTTTTCATGATTTTACCCATATGTAACGTGAATACGGTAAATTTACGCAAGAAAGTCTTCCTTAAAGGCATCGCTTCTTTTAGAGAGATAGCCCTCTTTTGGAGGGCCTGATTTAGGCAAGGGTAATAGGCCATGTTCCATAGATCTTTACTTTCAGGAGGTACACTGTCTTCTAAAATATTTAAAATGCGTGAAATTTTAATTATATATAATTTTTTAATTCTGTGTTTTAAAGGCATAAAATTAGAAGCACAAACAAAATTTTGATTTTCTTATTTTAGTTTTTTCATGTCTTGTTTCAAAAATCAGACATTGCATCGTTGTTTTGCATTCTTATTGCCGTTTTATATCATTTAGAGAAGTCTTGATTCTAATTTGAGCAACCATTCTTTGTTACTGCGTGCTAATTTGTTTGATACTAATGCTAATTAGCACAACTAATTCCTATTACGTGTGAATAATGCGTTTGAAGCTTAATAAAAAATTTAATTACATTATTTTTGTGTTATCTTTGTAATAAATAATTTAAGATTTGTGATAAAATAAGTAAGGGCTCTTTAAATTCTTCCCTTTATTCCAATTTTCTTACAGGAAAAAACAAAACATTGGTTTAAAATATATGAGCCTATAATTTATACAATACATAATAAATTGAAATCACGAAAATAAGACTTATCATGAAAAAACACGAAAACTACACTTAGAGAACCATGAAAAATCAAAATTGCATTTCACAGGTATTTGTTTTGTTCTTTAAAAGAGAGAAAAATAAAATCCTGCTAAATAAAAAAATAGTAAACTATTAGATATTTCACAAAATGTATGTAATTCGCCTCGGTGTTGTTTATTACAATGGAAATAATTAAACGAAGTGCCATTTTCCTTAAGACCTGCAACTTTGTTGATCGGGCCATGCTCGCGTGCTTTATCATAAATAAAACAATCTAATCCATTTTGTGAAGAGATAAAACAATAATCGAATCCATTCTGTCAAGCGATCCAACCATAAACGAAACGATTCTAATCAATTTTGTCATCTAACGCATTAACTAACAGAACTGTTGAAAAGCTTTTTTGTTAGAACTGCCAGAGTTAAATTAGAATTTTGACAGAAATAAGAGATCTCAGTAAAAAGAAACCTTTCTTACTAGTTGAACATGGAACCCTTATCAGGGGAATGTGTTTGTCAACAACGCCATAAATTTCTCCACCGCTCGGATTGCTACCGTATACAGTTTCCTCCGCAGATGTTCAGCGTATCCATCACAGCCCACCCTAGCCATAAACTGAAAAGATAGGGCAAAAGGTCTGGCAGTATGGTTGTTTGCTGAACACAGCAGCGACTGCCCAGTGAGAGTTCTCTTGGATATCTCACCGTACGTTGCGAAGTGTTGACTGAATGTTTGTTGGCTTTGCGCGCAGAGTTCTTGCCCAAGATAAGAAACCTAATTTAAAGCTTCGATTACCTAAAAGGGAAAGTACCCTGAGACCTCCTCTGCTTCTTCAAAGCAAAGAAAAACATAAAGTTACTGTACTACTGACCTTGGAAAACATGCTGTAGTGCAGGCATGTCAGACTCAATATCCGCGGGCCGCATGCGATCCTTGTCATTTTCCTGCTGTCCTCTGTTTACCTAAAAAAATAACAAATAATGGTATCCAGTAGGTGCCGCTTAGTGCGATCGCGTTAACACTTATAAGGTATTTTCTCCCTCCTTTCCGCATGCCTTCGTGGTGTAATTGGAAGCATACTCGAAGCGTATTCGAAGATAGCATTAAACAATGAGCAGAAAACATAAAAACTAATAGCCCTGAAGGACTATTAATTTCGTTTCGGCATTTTGCGTTGGTTCGCTATAAATTCCTGTTAACTTTTCATATTGTTTCATTTTCGATTTAATATTTTGTAACACTTTAACGAATTTTGGATTAACAAACTCAACGATTTCAAAGCGAGCAATGCCAACAATGTACGAAAAAAAAAAGAGCATTTTTATCTCCAGCTCGCGAGACTGTGTATCGGAAATTCTAAAGATATAGCGATATTTTTGTCGAATTAAATTTTATGGTTTAAGTGCGAAGAATATGATATTTAATAAATAAAGGAAACACACAAAACGTTGAAGAAACGCCCCTTTGTGCATAATGTAAAATCTGAAGGCTTTCAGATTTTCTTCCCCAATTTAGTAGAAGGCTTAGCACTGAGGTGCTTTTATAAAACAGAATGCAGAGAAGTCAGATAATTAATCGATCCCCATATTTTCCTAGAAATCTGACGGACAGAGCCTCGTTTCTCTACCATTCTGTTTCTTCTCAGTCATTGGTAATTTGTGGCTGGACCGCAACTGAGAATATTTTCCGTACTGGCTCCATAGGGAACTCCTGATTTAAAGTATAAATGGGTTCGAACTTGGGATGCGCTCTTCCTGCGAACTGCTTCAAATAATCGATTCACTTTTCTCAGCGAGCTAACGCTGACTGAACAGAAAAGAGCGGCAGCTCTTTTAGAGTTATTTCAGTTCACCCAACAAGAGCTGTTGTTGAAAACATGGCAGGAGAGCTCGATTCCGATTTTAATACAGAAAAGAATGTTTAGCCTACTATGTTAAAAGTGAGTTTCATTTTATTATTTCCCAGCGTTTTGAAAATTTCTTTATTCTTGAATATTATTGCTAGTTCTATGCAGAAAGGAGATTTTAGTGAATCTCAAAACTACAGTTGAAAGAAATCTGTCCAGGGATTTAGCGTTTTGACAAAGTCGATTCTTCCGATCCCACTGTTCGTTCAGTTCTTCCCGCTCTTCTCTCCATTCTTGCACACCGATCTTGATTCACTCCCCGTCCATTCTTGCACACCGCGGTGAGTCATAAAAAAGAAACGATTCCGTTTCGGTGACTGAATGATTCTGATTTGTACTAATAGAAGCGTACTTTTGTCCAGCTGTATTTCGAGCCTGAGTCGAACTACCAGCATTTAACGGTCCAGAAACACAGGGCCGTTTTCGAGAGAGTTTCAAAGTATCTAAGTATGAATCACCATCCTGAACGAGAGTTTACAGCATAATTTCCTAGCGATAGCGATCTGCCGACCAGAGAAGCGCAAGAAGATTTAGGAGAACATTGCGAGTCCATGGATCACTGAGAAGCAAATGTGCAGGAAGAAGAGCAAGAATAGGAAGATGGGAAATATGGTTGCCTAAACATTTTTGGTTCAAATTTTTAAACACTCGCTTGATTATACAAATATTAGTACATGTTCATTATTTTTAAACTAGAAGGAATTTATTATTTATTATTTTTATCATCTTATTCTAGGGGACTTAAGTTACAAACCCTCAAACTTAATTCTTCAGATCGGGGCCGCGAAGCCCATACATTTGCAATGGTATCCAGAACACGCAATAGCATATTCTTTCAACATACATCACATTATGCGTATCACAGCAGGAATGTACTCATGCATTGTGAGACCCATAACTACAAATAATTTGAAGTCTTTAATGTTTATGGTTCTGTTTACGTATTGCGTGATGAGCTTTAATCAACAATTCGGTGCAATATAAAAGTAATAAATTGCAAAAAAAATTCAATGCGTATTCAGTCCGTGTTTGCAAATCGCATTTAAAAGAGTTGTTGAAAAAAGAAAAGGAAACTCTGGGCGAGGGGAATTCTCAGACAGAAGACTGTGCTTCCCCCCGAAAAAAAAGTACTATGGCTTAAAGCGAGAGATTTATATCTCAGTGCTTTTGTGTTTCATATGATCGATTTGTTGGCAGAGGTTTCCATAAAATCTTGCTAAAGTCTACTGCTCAATTCTACAAGACCTGCTGTGGACTATAAATTAAATTTAAAATTTAATTATTAAATTCAAGATGTTCAAGTATTGGCCATAAAAATTAGGTATTTGATTGGTTGATTATAGCAAAGCACACAAAGGCTATCTTCCTAAGAAGAGGAATGCTTTCGAAGAGGATTTTTTGAGGAAAACTGGCTCGTTTTCCTCAAAAGCCAACCATGCAAACCACGAAAGCCAAAAATCCACAAAAGCTAACCATGCAGATAGCCCGTTTGAATGGGTTTGAACCCAAGCAGATCGAACTACCAGTATTCAACGTTCTCAATCACGCGGTCACTGGTGGCCCTTAAGTGAAGGGATGTCTCCGTAGAAGAGTTTCTAGTATTGGCCATTTTTAAGAACCCATTCTAATGGAATGCAAATGAGAAGAGTCGTAGTTACAATTCTACAACCTTTAGTGTACGGTAGTGTTATACAGAAAAGGAAAAAAAAAAAAAACAAATAAATAAAAACAAATAAATAAAAAGCAAAATCTGAAAAGCAGAATTTAACGATCGCCTAAAGAGTTTGTTAAGGTTTTTTACGTTCTCGCTGCTTTCCTAGTCTATCAGTTTGCTGTTGCAGTGACTCCCGCTAACCCATTTCTTTTTGTCTTTTTAGCTTTATTATTAGCTTTATTATTTATTACTTTGCCATATACAATTCAACAATTAAATTGCAAAAATTTTAAAAGTAGCCTAGCAAAATGTACTTAGAATTAATGTTAAGTGTTGGTATATAATTTTTTTCAGTCATCATCAGTTTTTTTCAGTCAGTTCATCGTATCAATATTCAGTTTTCTTAGTAAGATGGCTTTCAAAACTCTTTTTTTGTCTTTTGATTATTAACGTTTTGCGTGTTAAATTTATTTAAATATCATGTTCTTCGCACTTACCTCACATATAACTGAATTTAACAGCAAAATCACAAAATATTTAAAAACAGCATAAGTTAAGAATTTTCGATAGACAGTTTCGCGTGCTAGAATAAAAGTATTTCATTCCGTGGAGTGCTACCGCTGTTCGCTTTCAAATCGTTGAGCTTGTTAATCAAAAATCATTGAAGTTTTACAAATTATGAAATATGAAATTCGAAATTGAAATTTCGGGCTTCTAGATGCGCATATTCGGGTGGAGGACTACGATTTTCAAAGTTAGATGGTTGTAGATACCATCGCCTTTTCACAGTGTGAGGGAACATACATACATACATGCATACTTCTTTATTTAACTTCTTTAAAAATAATACGGGGCGAAAATAATTGGTGTCAACAATTTGAAAAGTAATACAGCCGTTTATAGCGAACGAAAGTAATGAAGTGTGTGAATAAAATGCAGAATTAAATATGTAGATCCTTTTAAAATGTGGAAGAAGTCTTTTCTTCTGATAGTTCATTTTGTGCTATATTTCAGTACTTTCAATTTTTAAAAATGATCAGAACTTTTAAAATTTAATTTTAGAAATGCTTAAAAATGTTTATCTCGTATTATAAATCATAATTTTATAACCTATAAATATAAATGAAAAAGAATGTATTTCTTTTATAAATAGTATTCCTCAGTAATTTCAAAGGTTAAATTTCAAAGGTAATTTTTAAAGAAAGGCACAAAAACTAAAAACGAGTTAACATTTTATTACTTTTTAAAATTTTACATATTTAAAATCTAGAGCGGATAAAAATGCATGTAATTTCATATATTTTAAATACTATAAGGAGGACTTGAGAGGAGACCCTTGACAGCAGAGGGGCAGGGCATGTCCGTTTGCCCCTGCGGAAACCGGGCCCTGGTGGATCGGTTACTGTTTTATTCTTAAACTCGGACATGACCTGATCAAGAAACACAACAACCCTTGATCCTTTCAAGTATTAAAAGATATTACGATTAAACTTCTGCACTGAATGAGGTTTCTGAAACACAAAGTTTCGGAAATGGCGGTGGCAATGGATTGACATTTCACCTGCAGCTATTATTATGATAACTATCATTTGAACATCTTGGATGCATTCAAAAATAAAACTTCAATTTGCGCCCATTGTTTTGCTAGAAACAGAAGGTAATAATGTATGTCTTGTCGAGATGCGACAGATAAGGGAGAAGAAAAACCTCACGGTGGAAGTTAGGGAAAAAAAAAAAAAAAAGATAAAACGGAGGCAATATTCAAGTGCGGACGAAGTGTTTGTTCTAATGGAATGAATTGCTTGGACAGGCTCAGAACTTATTCATTATGCAGCTGCAACTTTTAAGAAGACTAATGAACAAATGCATCTTTGAGAAGATGGAAGTAATAAAAAATCATTATCACAAAGCACGCGATTTCCTCTATCGATATTTTAGTTTTAGGTTTATGACATATGCAAAGTGGCAACAATGTTTGAACGTCTAGTTTGCCATTTTGGAATGATGCAGGATTTTGATAATGATGTGCAGTTCAATTTTTTGAATTA